CCGAAAGATCAAGGTGGCTATCAAAGAAACTGAGACAACTTCATACGAAACTTGCTCTTTTGAATCATTCTAGGACTCTATCAAAGCATGTGTGATAATTTCATTTAAATCCTGGTTGTTCAGAATCTCTAATTTTTTAACTGGTACATACTATTATTTAACATGCCATATTTCAAAGGCATTCAAAGCCAGTCTAATTTGTATTACAGAATTACATTATAATCTGCAAGGAGCACATCAGAGTGATTTTTTAAAATTAACATAGAGCTCACCATGAAGGGAATTTTAGATTTCTTAAACTACATTTATCATCATCATCATCATCATCATCATCATCATCATCATCATCATCATCATCCTTTTAAAACAATTGCATTATATATTTAAAGTTTAGCTTTTTATGTAATCAGATTAGATATTGGAGGTTAAATTCTGGGAGTATTTTAAATTGGAAGTGAGACTCGGTCCTGTTTTAAATAAATTCAAAATCATCCTGAACCATGCCACTTCATGTTAGGTTTGTGTTTTTGCCTAATTAGAGTACAGGTTTGACTGTTACTGTACACCAGACAGTAACAGAGAATCCGCACTGTTTTAATTCCAGCAAAACCAACAGGTTGAAAAGGGATACACAAAATATGTTTATGTTGACTAACTCCCTTGCAAGAAGAGAATAAGGGAGGGAGGGAGGGAGGGAGGGAGTGGGGAGGGAAGGAAGGAAGGAAGGAAGGAAGGAAGGAGGGAGGGAGGGAGGGAGGGAGGGAGGGAGGAAGGAAGGAAGGAAAGGAAGGAAGGAAGGAAGGAAGGAAGGAAGGAATTAATTAATTAGCAATTTCTCCCAATTTAGAGACTGACATATGAATGTTCCTATATGCAGAACTGAAATGAAACTGCTTCTGCAAATTTTCTGAATATCTGTGTCTTATATTTATTTACCTGTATTTGTTTATGTGATTTGAATTGATATATGTTTATGAGATTTGATTTCACTGTTTGTATGAAAATCGATAGTATTCATTTCTATTTTGTATTTCAAATACAAACCTCAATATGTCTTCCAGTAAAAAATATTTTACAACTTATAAAATATTAGTACTGTAGTACTGTACTGTACTGTAGATGACATACAGTAGAGGTAGCACTTCATGACATTATGTAGCTAGTGAGATTTTACTAATTAAAAAATTTGATCTTTTTTTTTAAAAAAAATGGACTTTCTTTTATTTCTATTAATACAAAATTAAATACCTCAGAAATAAAAAAAACCCTTAATATCCTTAAGGAAAGTCAGTACACGTATTCTTAATTTTCATGGTACCAAATGTTAATACATTTAATAATAATTAGAAGGATGGTATTTTATCCTATTCTGTAGTAATCTTGTTCAGCAGTAACCATCTTTTATGCTCTGTGCCAAGACTTATTTTAATAACACAAAAAATCCTACAGAAACTATACTGCAGAGGCCGATGCTTCATACATATGAATATTTTGAACATTATTAATTTCAGGTACTTAACAAAATTCTCAGCTTAGCCTCCAAATGATCAACCTTTATCCTTTCTGGCTTCTTCTGCCCTAGGGTATATCAGTCTATTCAAAATGCAGGGTCCTGGATTTCATTAAAGAGACAATTATCAAGAGTGAAAGTTATTTGCCCTCAGAAGCATGCAGTCTGTGCTCCTGTTTTGACATAAGATAACGAGAGGGAGAGAGTTTGGATCCCTTTTCTCCCCACAGTGTCCTCATTTGCTTTTCTATTCTTAGTGAGGATCTTATAGCTATTTTGTGAGCTCTTCCTATTTAGCTTTTGGTACCCTGCATGATTCCTATGCCTTGCCGGAACCAAATAATGTTTTCTTTTCAAAGTTTCATCCTCAGATCCAACAAAGTTGCTCTTCCCTGCCTGCACTGCTGGATATAATCTTTTAGGCTGGTTAAATTGGAAAGAGTAACATAAAATGCTAGCTATGGCTGGTCACAAAATATAATGCACCTGTGTATCAGAAGGCACAGTGAGTTTCTCTCCATCACCTTCTTTTAGTGCATCAGGATACACTCTATTAGTTCAGCTTATTTTTGCCTTATTTTTGTTATTATTTTAAGCTAGGATGGGAAACAGAGGAGAATTGCCAAACCAACATGGGGTTGCAGTTACTAACTTTGTTTGTCATCAAAAAATGCTAATAGCATCCTAAAATCTAGCAATTGCTTTGCAACCCACAAGTGTTTGATTTAATTTTTAAAACTGAATCTTTAAAGTATGGAGAACAGCAGGTAACAAAGGAAGAGTCCAGAGCCGCAATGATGCTGTGGGGCAGGGCCGCAGTACCATTAGGGTATCTACTGTTGTGTAAAGAGATCCATATTGCCTCAGAAACTCTCATTTCTGCGAAGCTTAGTGATCAGAAAACTCCCCTCTACTTCCCCTGGAAATCTTTTCCCTCAGAGCTTTGACAGAATGTGGTAGTCATTCACTCTTGAACAGTAATGCTGAAAATGCCCCTTTATAACAGGTATGGCATAGACAAGTGAACAGTTTTACCTATCTGTTAAAAATTGCACAGTTCTGTCTGCAGCCAGGAAGAGGATGCGTGGAGGCTGAAGGGTGGGGGCACAAAGTCCATTTAACTGTGGATTTTAATCTTCTTCTCTTGCAGGATTTAGTTTAAAATCTCATTAATCAGGCTTGGAAGGCTGTTCTTTACAGTCTTTGGGAACAACATGTCCTAAGGAAAAAATGTCTTTAGGAATAATGTGGAATTCTGGTTCATTTATTAATAAGGGACAATAAATGTACAGCCTTTGTTGCATAATCTGGAATTGCAAAGGAAGAAGATAGGGTAAAGTGAGAGGCTCCAGTATATGAGCAATCGGCTGTTGTACTCTTATTATTGCTCTTGTTGAAAGAAAGGTAAAAAACTGAATCTGAAATTCATTATGAAAAGAATTAGCTTGGGTTGGGCTATTTTCAAGTTACAGGTGAGGCCCAAATTTGAAGTTGAATCAGGATTTTCTCAGTGGATTCAAGTAAGTATTCCTTACTTCCCTGAATCACTTCCTTCAACACTGTATGTAGTTTTTAGAGAGTGATTTTATATATAAATCTTTGGATTTTTCTGAATATGTTAATTCTAATTTTGCTGTGGATTTATGATACATCCCTGGAAATGAAAAAAAAAAGTGTTAAAAAGATAGTGAGATGGAAATTCCCAAGTTATTACATTTTATGACCTGGGTCAACAATGAGTCATATAATGTAACAAATTACTATAGCATTACAAACTTTTATTTATTTATTACATGCCTATATTATTTTTGCAAATAATGGTTGCAAAGACCATCGACATACCTAACACATATTCCTCCTCCAATTTTCCCCACAATAACAACAGTATGAGATGGGTTGGGTTGAGGGACTGTAACTAGTCCAAGGTCATCCAGCAGCTTTTATGCCTAAAGTGGGATTAGAACTCACAGTATCCCGATTTCTAGGCCAGCATACTAGCCACCACACCAAACTAAATCTCTTTGCTTCACTTTTGGGAAAGCTGAAAAGAAACCTATACCAAGTTGTCAAAGTTTAGAAGAGTGAACTGGCCAACAAGGTCAACAAACAATTTTCACATATGGTAACTAAGTGGAAGTTCCATATTGAGGGACAGTGTATGTTTGAAAACAACTACTGGACCGACACATTAGAGGAAGAAACTCTTATTTGTAACAAGTTCAAATTATGAGAGAAATATAGTACATGAGCAGGTAACAAAGGAAGAGTCCAGCCTTTCTAATATGAATTTCTTTTAATGTAAAAAAAATAATAATGATTCACATCAGTACACCTTTCTTTTCAATAAGGCATCATGCAAACACCCCATCAAACTGAAATGCAATTACATGGTAAAAAATCTGGAAAGTTATACAGGCTGCAAATAAGCACCGTGTGGTGGTTGAATATGCTTACTCAGAGAGTCATCTAGACGTAATGCTCTGAAGCTGTTTTCAAGCGAATGGAAGTCTTCTGGGGTTATCAGAACTAAGAGTGAAAATGAAATCACTGCGTCAATAGAACAGATTTCCTTTCACTTAATTGAGGACCACATTTCCCTCTGTTCTTAGCTAGCACAAACAATTCTAGCAACTGTGGTCTCAAGAGGGAGATATCTGACTGATAAAGGCTATGATACTTGGTTTATTGCCCTACCTACTGTCCCATGTATGAGCAAAAACAAATGTGACTGGTCATCACCAAGTGGATTAATTTAAGAGCTTCTAGAGGAATTTGGCTGCTCCCGTCAGATATTACAGGACTTTTTCTGATCCAGAAAGACAATGGTTTGCGCTCTGAAAAATGTTCAAAAAGAAGGGAAGAAGCTAAGATTTCCTGTTACTTTGTTCATCTTTATTCATGTCAAATATGTATGGGTGAGATTGGCATGACAAAGGTGAGTGACGTTTCTTTCCTGACACCCTCTCATCTCTCTGTCTGTTGTTGCAGGTTGCTTGAATTTCAGTTGTGGGAACAATGGGTGCAGCCATGTTTGACATAAAGCAATGTTTATAAGGGCTTTTTTAAAAAACTTCATTTTGACAGAGATTGGTTTTGAGGATGGGCCAATAAAGCTCTGCTTGGGACAAAAGGAATGAGACTGAATGCTCTTTCTTTTTTCTTTTACTTTTCATCTCAGGTTTTCTCACCTATTTGAAATTTCCTTCTGTATGTGTCATTTTAAAGCTGTTAGAAGTTAAACCTTTTGTTAAATTATTTAGAGCTTTCAGACTGCCAATCTAAGCAGGATTAAAGCTGAATATATTTTTGTTTTTACTTTTTCCTGTCCTATAGTCTGCACTTAATAAAATTTCAACATAACATCCGTTGCCTCAAATTAATATCGACCACATGATTCCCCCCCCCCGCAAGTTCAAGACAGAGATATAATTTGAAGAATTCTTCCAATTATAGGAGCAAATAATCCATCTCTTACTTCAAAGAAGTAAATACTATTTTACTTTGATTTCCTATATATATCTAGAGATATTTTAGTCAAACCTGGTTTGCATGCTTACCAAGGGGCACCTTTCCCTCTTACCACACATCTAAATGCAGGTGCATCATTTGGAATATCATGTGTCAGCCATGAAGCAAATTGAGCTGCAAGGACCTAAAAACAAGGATAACTGTAATAATATGGAAGCTGTGGAAACAGCAGGAAGCACCCAAAATCATAATGGGAGTTGGTAGAAGAATAGCAGATGATGCTGACCAGGGCCTGAGGCAGAGGACTGGCTCTGCAAATGGCCAACAAGTGCCAGCTGAACCAGCACACCATGGATGGAATGGATATTCAAGTGCAAATATATATTTGGAACCACCACTATCTGCTTTCAGCCTATGTTTAAAAAATGCTAGTGCAAACAAAAGTACAGTAAGGATATCTTAAAGCTTGTGGACTGAGGATGCCATGAAAGCAAAAAGGATATGAATAGTTCTACATATAATCTACCATTTTAATGAAAAAATTCTGCTTGTTAGAAATAGAATTCAGGGCAGAGTTCAATGAATTATATGCATCCCAGGCCTACTTACATTCACACTGAGCTTCATTGTGACCCATTCTCCATTAAATTGGTGCAAAAGATTTTTCTACAATGGGAATTTTCAACTGAATTTTTGTTCTCAGTTTGGATATCCCTTAAGGTGTGATAACTACAAAGCAAACTAGAATAACAGGAATGTAGGAACAGATGTTATTTGGATTCTTGGGCATGATAAAGAATTCCAAGAATCCCCAATGCCCAATTATCTACATGATTATTCTTTTTTACTCCATGCATTATAAATCTACTTTGAGTAAAATAAACAAAATCAAGTCTGTACCTAATGTTCAGATTACGTAGATCAAAAGAGACATATTCACATACAGGCCATTGCTTTATCACCCAAAGCACAGAAAACATGACCAAATATACACACATTCAAATGATACCAATTAATCCTGTGCTAATGATCAAACTGCAATATGCACAGAGGACAATTATTCTCTTTTTAATTCTGTGTTACATTCTACAGCATTATAATGAGATGTAGAAACTGTATAATTTCAGAGTTCATGTATCGTAAACAAGAAAAACAGAGTCCTTGGTTTGCTTGATTTCTAGAAAAAAGGATTCTGGTAATCATCTCTCTCTCTCTCTCTCTCTCTCTCTCTCTCTCTCTCTCTCTCTCTCCCCCCCCCCTTCGCTCTCCCTCTCCCTCATACACACACACACTCCTTCCCTTCTCTCTCTCTCTCTCTCTCTCTCTCTCTCTCTCTCTCTCTCTCACACACACACACACACACACACACACACACACACCTTCCCACACACACACATTCCTTCCTGGTATGTAGAATTTTAGTAGTAAAGGAAATTCACTTGGTACCTACATAGAAACCCTTTCTTACCAGGACTGAAAATAAACAGTAAATTAAATTCTGGCAGAAATTAAACCAATTCTTTGTCTAAAAGAGGCTTTGCAATGATGGTAGAATCTATTCTGATACATATTTTGTCTCAGTGGGGAGAACCTTAGTTTCATATTCTTGCCTGCCTCTACTATAAAACTTAGTTGCCAAACCTTTAAGAATTGTCCAATGAGAAGTAGCCTCAGATTGCATTTGGAGTAGGCAGATATTTTTTTAACTCCCCTCCCCCACCATCCCTTGCTATTGGTATATTACTTTTAAGTTTACAGAACAAATGCTTACCAAGAACTGCCCAGATTCTTCATACTGTTAGTTTTCAACGTAAGAAACAGGAAAACAGTCAGAGACCTAAAGATGGAGAGGCCAAATAATAAAGAAATGAGCAAAGTTGGAGAAAATACATTATCTTGCTGAAATGAAGTTCATTTCAATTTTTCTTCACTTCTCCTTTGACTTTTACTGACAGAAACAGGGGAAAGGGTTCCATCAACCACAACCCACAATTCAAGGAATGGTGTAGTGCCATTTTCAGTGATGAATGAAAACAATTCTGCTGTGCTGCATTTTAAAGAAATGTAATCAGAGTCATTTTAGATATTGAAAGATAAGAGAAAATTCCAGGCTGCAGTATAAGTGATGGCATAGATAAAATAAACTAAAATAAAATAAAACCAAGCTAAAGAAAAAAGCCAAAACCAACACCCCAAGTCTATATGATTAAATTTATTGTTTCCCATTTATCTAATCTCCATGCTCTTTTCAATGAAAGCATTTTATTTGAAGCTGTATTTGTAAACATTTCCCAAACCCAGATAGCCTTGAGCCTCTTGCTTTATTGTATATTTTAGCACAGAGGGTCCACTGTAGATTTTGCTGCCATTGTCCTTCCAAACCAATAAATAAAGGCAAAGTAATGTGCAGCCATCTAGTCTCCTGGGGTGTGATGAGGCTGTTCTATGGTCCTTGCACAGACAAATCCCACTATAAAGTCAAGTGTTCAAAGTTATTTCTAAAATGGCAAAACAAAGGGGTGGGAAATTAGATTAATAGCCCGCCTTTTCACTGAGGGTTCTAAGTGGTTTACACGCAGATCTTCCTTCATTTTAGCCCACAGTGAAATTTCTGTGAGGTAGACTAGATTGAGAGAAAACCATGACTGGCCCAAAATCACCCTGTCAGTTTCCATGGTTGAAGATAGACATCAATCTGCATCTCTTCAATTCTAGTCCAACACCTAAATTATTACAGGATGACATGGGTAGGGATCACCAAAGCCTTAGGTTCAATTTTTGGGACTCCACCCCTTGTTTTCTAGTGCTGACAGGAAATGTCTCTAGGAACAGGCCATTTTTTAAGGGAAAATGGATGGCAGGAACAAAGTACTGACCACAGATCCAATGAAAATTCCGCTCCCCTAAGAGATTGTTCTCTTGAACACTAAAGCCATTCATCATTAACAGGCAGTCAGCGACAGCAGAAAGTTAGAGGACAGCAGAAATGGCTGTATGTGCATATATATGGGGAGATGTTCAGGCATCTTTTTGTGTTCTTAACATATTGGGGTTGTGTGAATTTATAAAAATACCTTTGTGCTTATGTGCTGAAACTCTGTCCCTTTTGTACATATGCCAATGTACACATTGCCACACATATGAAAATATCAGCTTTACAAGATGGACCAGATAAAAAAACAGATACCATGCACACTAAATCTAAAACTATCTTTATTGGTAATTTTACTATACAATAGTTACTATTAGTAGCTATAGTAACAGAATCATGCAACTCTGAATCTGCCTTTCTTCCTCCTTTTTATCTTCCTATAAATTAGGGGATGCTTGTCTTACACGTTTCATAAGCCTTTTATCTTCATATGGACATAACCCATGTTTGTTTGTTGTTGCCTTGGTTATGGATATTCCCTCTCTCTGCCAAAGTTACCCTCTTTATTCTCTACATTAAGGAACAGAGCTTATGGTGGGATGTCACGATCCTGTTTTCACGATGTTTATGAAAGAAAGGGACCTTGAGAACAATCTGCCTCTTGATTGGTCAATATTGGTCCAGGAATATCTTCTCAAATACTTTACTTTTATGATATTCATTAACTAACATTAATACAATATGATCATATAAAAATATATGCAACTAATTTATCCCTCTATCATATCACCTACAATTCAACTGCCTCTTTTGAAGGAGCCCCCAAAGCTGGGTAAAATGGCCTGTACTCTGGGGCTGAGAACCCATACTATATACTCTCATGTTCCTGACATATGGGGGTGCAATGGTTCAGTGTCTAAAGACACTGAGTTTATCAGCTGGAAAACTAACAGCCCAGGTTCAAGACCCAAATGCCGCATGATGGAGTGAGCTTCTGTTCTTGCACCAATGCCTACCAAGCAGTTTGAAAGCAAGCAAATGCAAGTAGATAAATAAGTACCCCTTTGGTGTGAAGATAACAATGTTCCGTGCACCTCGGTATATAGTCATGTCAGCCACTTGACCATGAAAGTGTTCTCAGACAACACTGGCTCCCTTGGCTAAGAAATGGAGATGAGCACTATCTAGAGTTGGACATGACTGGGCAGGAGAAACCTTAATTTCTCACAATTATGTTCAACAGGGCTTCTTTCTGTGTTGCATAATAAGATCACACTGTTCTGAATTGAGAAAACTGTGTTTACAGGAATGCAAATCCTTTCCTGTTTACTCTAGTGCAAATGAAATAGTTCACCGTCCTCTCTTTTTTTTCAGCCAGCCTTCACCTTCCTTTTCCTCTTTCAGCCTTTGTCAAACCTTTATTAGTTCATTAAGTGTTCTGGAAGATGGGGGAAAAGCAGGATGTCTTTTTAATTTACTGCTTTCACATGGTACATTTGCCTAGTGCAGGGCATGAAGATCGTGAACTGAAAAATCTCACTGTGCTTGTGTGAACTAAGTAATTATTATCTTCAGGCTTGACTTGCTGTCTCATAATTTCAGTAGTGCCTAGTGTCATTTTCTCATAAGACTATCTACATATAAACAGAGGGCTCTGTGATGGAGGACCATGAGATCTGAATATGAATTATCTCTTTGTGAATTCTATCTTATGCATAAATTCATGGCTTTACCATTTGTGAGTTATCAGAGGATATTTCATGGATGGAAATCATTCTCGTTATTCTATGTCTTAAATTATATTTTTCTTCCCCCTGTTGCAGCTTTCACTTGAGTATGTTTTGTTTTCAATTTCATTCTAAACAGTTTATACTTAATATATTATCTTGGTGCCTTTGTGGGCTCTTAAAGGCAAAGGTTCTTTCACTTGTCCAACCTAATGGGGTGACATTTTCACCAGGCATATTGTCTTTTTATTGGTGTTTATGGAAATTCTGTGAATTATTTTTATCATTATGAAAGCCATCTTTTTGCTTCCCAAGTTCCTTAGTTTCTTGAAAGCAGCTGTGATTGGAGATCATTTTAGACAGCACAGTATGAGAAAATAAAAGGTAAACACGTTCATGGCATGGAGGTTTTGTTTACTGAAGATAGAGCAGCCAAATAACCTGTTTAGGGTGACCCGCTCCCTTCTCCATCTGGGAGTGCGGGAGGATCCCTTGCAGGGTCAGGCTGAGGATTTTGTGCAGTATCTGCACAATAAAATCGCTTAAATTCGGGAAGGCTTGGTCTCTGACTGGGTAGGTTCAGGCGGGATGATGGAGGCAGGTCTTGAGAATGTTATTTGGGAGGAGTTTGACCCTGTGGCTCCCGAGGACGTGGACAGGATTCTGGGACGGCTGAATGCGACCACATGTTTATTCGACCCGTGTCTCTCCTGGTTGGTGCTGGCCTCCCGGGAGGTTACGCGAGGCTGGCTCCAGGGGATTATTAACGCTTCTTTGAGTGAGGGTGTCTTGCCTCCCGCCTTGAAAGAGGTGGTGGTGAGGCCCCTCCTCAAGAAGCCCTCTCTGGATCCAGCTGTTTTGGCTAACTACGTCCAGTCTCCAACCTTCGCTTTGTGGTGAAGGTTGTTGAGAGTGTGGTGGCACGACAGCTTCCGCAGTACCTGGATGAAGCTGTCTATCTAGATCCGCTCCAGTCCGGCTTCAGGCCTGGGCACAACACAGAAAGAGCATTGGTCGCATTGATGGATGATCTCTGGAGGGCTCGGGATAGGGGTTGTTCCTCTATCCTAGTCCTGTTAGACCTCTCAGCAGCTTTTGATACCATCGACCATGGTATCATGCTGTGCCGGTTGGAGGGGTTGGGAGTGGGGGGCACCGTTTTATGGTGGTTCTCCTCCTATCCCTCTGACTGTCGCAGTCGGTGTTGGCAGGGGGGCAGAGGTCGACCCCAAGGTGCCTTGTTTGTGAGGTGCTGCAGGGATCGGTCCTCTCACCCCTCCTGTTCAAAATTTATGTGAAGCCGCTGGGCGAGATCATCCGTGGTTTTGGGGTGAAGTTTCATCAGTACGCTGATGATACTCAGTTGTACATCTCCACCCCAGGCCATCCCAATGATGCCCTTGAAGTGATGTCCCAGTGCCTAGAGGCCGTGCAGGTCTGGATGGGGAGAAACAGGCTCCGACTCAACCCTTCCACGACCAAGTGGCTGTGGCTTCCGGCATCCCGATATAGCCAGCTGGTGCCATCGCTGGCTATTGGAGGCGAGTTACTGGCCCCCATGGAGAGGGCTCGCAACTTGGGCATCCTCCTGGATGCATGGCTGTCTTTAGAAGAGCATATGACGGCTGTGGCCAGGGGGGCTTTTTATCAGGTCCGCCTGATTCGCCAGTTGCGTCCCTTTCTGGATTGGGACTCCTTGTGCACGGTCACTCAGGCACTTGTCACCTCCTGCTGGACTACTGTAATGCTCTCTACATGGAGCTCCCTTTGAGGAGCACCCGGAGGCTCCAACTGGTACAGAATGTGGCCACGCGGGGGATTATGGGAGCGATGGGGCACTCCCATGTGACACCCCCCCTGCGCGAGCTGCACTGGCTCCCAGTGGTCTTCCGGGTGCGTTTCAAGGTGTTGGTTACCACCTCTAAAGCGTTCCATGGCTTAGGGCCTGGGTATTTACAGGACCGCCTTCTGCCACCGATAGCCTCCCACCAGCCAGTATGCTCCCACAGAGAGGGACTTCTCAGGGTGCCGTTGGTCAGACAATGTTGGCCAGTGACCCCCAGGGGGAGGGCCTTCTCTGTGGCAGCACCTGTCCTCTGGAACGACCTGCCCCCGGAGATACGTAGGATCCCAGATCTTCATGATTTTCGCCATGCCCTTAAAACTTTTTTATTTCATCAAGCCGGGCTGGCTTAACCCCCCCCCCCCCATATTTTTAATTATTAATTGATTTTAGTT